AACAATTCATCATTATCATAAAAACATCTTATCAAAAAATCAACATTACTACCAAATTTCTACTACATTCTGAATCATCTCATCGTCAAACCCACAATCCGATATCATTTCCGTTATTCCATTCCTATGGTCAAATTACCAGTCATTTTAGAAAGGCATTTGCAGAATCTTCCTGATCACAATTTTCAGTGGAATTTTTTTTATGAAATAAGTTGGTACCTATCTTTTTAAAGAGCTTCTCATGAGGTATTTCATGCTCTTTAAAAATTTAATGGGCTTATTTTATTGGTTGTCAGTCAGGTTGGATATTCAATGATGTTGAGACAGAGGTTTGAAATGAGTAAACAAAGTGTTTCAGCCAGAAAGTGCCAAGAGGAGAGAGGAAAACATCCTGAATTTTCCTAAACATTTTGAGCAGCCTTCTACAATCTACTCTCCATAATGCTCACCAGAACATTAATCATATTGAGATGTAATCCAACACATTGGGAAATATTAAGTTAGAGAACCCCGTTCTAAGAATGAAACTGAGAAGAAATTGTTGTTGCCCTGTGCCTTCAATTTGACTCCAACTTAGTGTCCTCGTCATAGTTTTTTCTTGGTAAGGTTTCTTTAATGAAGGTTTCCATTAGCTTCCTTTGGAGATGACACTGTGATTTGCCCAAAGTCACTAGTAGGGTTCTATGAGTAACTGGTGTTTTGAACTCTTTTCATTTGAAACTTTAGTTCAACATTGAGATAAATATAACATTCTGGTCTTGAGAAACATTGACAACAGTTTTAACTGCCTCTATGAGGATTGAGGATAGCTTCTCTTAAACACAAACACACACACACACACACACACACACACACACACGTGCGCGCACACACACACACACACACACAACAATAGTAAGGCCATACCTGGTTTCTTTCCCAAAATATTTGGGATCAGAAGTGTTTTTTTGGATCCCCTTTTATCTAATATACATTTGCTCATTTAATACACTATTTTTAAATAATATTGTGCAAGACACAAAATGTGTATGCACTGACCTTTTAGAAAGCAAAGGTATCGCTATCTCAGCCACCCATGTGGACAGTTGCACTGTGTAACGGAAAGGGCCTACCTTGAAGGACTGGTGTGTGAGGATTTATAGGCCCTAGAAGGAAAGGCATTGTCTAAGCAAAAGGGAGGAAGGAACACCCACTCCGTATACGGTAGTGATGCTTAACTGGTGGAGAGATTAGAGCAGTGGTTCTCAACCTGTGGGTACCCAGGTGTTTTGGCCTACAACTCCCAGAAATCCCAGCCAGTTTACCAGCTGTTAGGATTTCTGGGAGTTGAAGGCCAAAAACATCTGGGGACCCCAGGTTGAGAACCACTGGATTAGAGAGTTTTGCATAGCATCAGAAGGCAGAGTGGGACAGGGTGCAGTAATCTGAATCAGGGAGGAGTTGGGTAAAGAGAAAGGAAGTGTTTTTAGGCAAGAGAGAGAAACCTCTGTGAGGGAGGATTTTAAAAGTTAGAAGCAGCCTTCGGGGAGAAGTGCTGAGGTTTAAAAATAGCCTCTGAGAGTCAGAGTGCTGGTGTTTTGTGATCCTCTAATGGGGAGAACCGAGAGTTCTGAAAAGCCCTGTGAGTGAATATTGTTTTGTGAATGAACCATTTACTGTAAAGAAACAACTTGACAACTGCTGTAACAAATAAGTGTCTGTACCTCTCATATCATCTGAAAAACCTTCTTGTTCCAGTTCAAATAAACTTTATAAATCTGTTGTTTTTTTTCTCACTTCACCACGGTCAGTGTGGCTTTCTGTGCACGAATATAATAAGGGGGCCTGTTTGAACAGCAGCCAACTCCCTTTATATAGGAGTTTTCTCTCCAATTTGAATGGCTCTGAGGGCTAACTCAGGTGGTCAATTGGACTGACTGGTGTAAATTGGTGGCAGCTATACAGTTGGTGGTCAGAGGTCGGATCGTCCGTTGTACACTGTATTTCAGAATCCAGAATTCTGGTTATATGACACTCAGATTTTATCACATCTTGTTAATTTTTGCATATGATTCAAAAACACCAGAGGATTTTCTCTTTAGGACCCGTTTATTCCTTCACACTATCCCTAAAGAGGAAAGAAACTTTCCATTTGGCCTCCATAAAGATAGATTTTCAGAATCAACATATTGTTTTGTGTTTTCTTTTTGCCTGACTGGTTAAAAATGTCCTTCAATATCTATGTTAAAGAATAGGTTATAGGAGCCTCCGGTGGCACATTGGGTTAAACCCTTATGCTGGCAGGTCTGCTGACCAAAAGGTTGGTGGTTCAAATCCAGGGAGTGGGGTGAGCTGCCAACTGTCAGCTCCAGCTTCTCATGTGGGGACATGAGAGAAGCCTCCCATAGGATGGTAACACATCTGGGTGTCCCCTGGGCAATGTCCTTGCAGATTGCCCATTCTCTCACACCAGAAGTGACTTGGAGTTTCTGAAGTTGCTCCTGACACACACACACACACACACACACACACACACACAAGCATAGGTCATAGTTTGAAAGCTGGTGAGTATTATTATAAAGCTGATGGCAATCTAAACCCTTGCTTTAGTTCTTAAAGAAGAATGTTTTAAAGAATGAGTTAGGAGGTTCTATGTAGTGTAAATATCTTAATAGTTTTTAATGGTTTAGGTGATTTTAACTATTTGTTATGAACATCTCTATATTCTATTTTAATGCCTTTATGTGTTAGGTTTTAAATTGTAAATCATTTTGCTTTTAATATTGTAAGCCACTTTGAGTTTCGTTCAGGAGACAAAACTGAGGAATATAAATAAATAAATAAACACCATTTGAGTATTGAATTATGATACCTGGAGACTAGGGTTTAAACTCCTGCTCAGCCATGGAAACCACTGAGTGGTCTTAGGTAAGTCACACTTTCTCAAGCCTCAGTAGAAAACAAAAACAAACTCCTGCTGAATAAATCTTGGCAAGCAAACCCTTGCTATAAATTGGAAATGACTTAACAGCAGCAGCAACAAAATACAAATCAGATATAACAATGTGAAACAAATAAATGAAAACAAACCTTATTCAGTCTCTAAGGTTTAAAAAGAAGTATTCTGTTCTGCTAAGAGAACTACTTTTGTGACCCACACACAATGCACAGACCAACACTGTTGCATTGTGCTCTGGGTTTATGGGCAACATGATGGCAAGACAAAGCAATATCTGAAGCAGCCTTCTTATATTTGGCAAGCTGAACAATGCTGTTGTCTGATATATGTTTCGCCTTCTCGTTATAACCCTGGAGGGGGTTGCAAATAGCAGCCTTGGAAAATAGCCATTCACTTTCCCTGGAGTGGCACAAAGTCAGCTGCTTGACATTCTTTCATGTTTTAAATTACTAGCCTCAGGCTTCATTGTCCATTGCCTAGAAACCCAAAGAGCAAAAAAGGCAACTTTGACTGCATATAATGAATAAGTGAAATGACTGGTTCCATGTAACAGGAAGGTCCATTTGTTCAAAGCCTTTGTCCAGTGACTTCTTGGCACAGACAGCAAATTGTCCCTTTTTTCCTCCCCCAAATGGGATGGAATGGCTTCAATGCGAGTGGCTACAAGAGCACCACAAAAGGTAAGGACAAATGGGCACTCTTTGTCACCATGTTCTTTAGTTATTGAACAAAGGGATCGTTTGATTAAGTTAAAGAAGCCTGGCTTATGAGCAAGTAGAACTGACAGTCGCTTGCATACAGGGTGAAGTGTAGCTATTGAGTGTTATTGAGAGTTGAGTAATTAAAAGTAATGAATAGAGTGTATACATTCAGTCTAGAAAATACTAGTAATCATGTTGAGATAAATTCAAAAACATAGCATATAATAGTGGATGGCTGGGTTCAATCCACTTGAATATTTCAGCTGTGGAAAGTCTGTGACTAATGAAGCCATTCCCTAGCCAAAGAAGTTGCAAACATCACTTGAAATGTTCCCTGATTATGAAATGCTGACAGGGTTGCATGTCATCCAGAGCATGGATGGATCTAAAGGTAGTCATGTTGGTTCTCTTCCTTCTAATAAAAGTTCCCAACCTATGCTGTATTTTATGTTCACAACCCCTCTATCCCTCCATCCCATTCTTTATAGCCTCCCCTTCCCACCAAGCTGGCATACAACAGAGAGGAAAGTAAAATACATACTCATATGATTAAAAACATGTCCAACTAGCCATCCCCTGCCACACGTTGCTGTGGCCCAGTCTGTGTATATGTGTTTTGTGTGTATATATACATGTTTATGTGTACACACACGGTTTTGCACGTGTGTTGTATTTTTTTGCTTTTTGGCTTTTAAAGTCTCTTCTGCTGTGTTTTTCAGTGTTTTTATGAGTGATGGTCACTCGTTTGCCTGATAGGTGTATTGTGTCCAAATTTGATATCAATTCATCCAATGGTTTTTGAGTTATGTTAATCCCACAAACAAACATTACATTTTTATTTATATAGATTACTGTTTTTTACTGTTTTAATGAATGTTTTATTTATTGTTTTAATTGTTATTATATTGCTCTGTTATATATAGTGGCATTGAATTGCTGCCAAATGTAAGCCATCCTGAGTCCCCCTTCGGGGGTTGAGAAGGAACGGGATAGAAATACTGGAAATAAATAAGTAATAATAAATAGATTACAAAACTTTCTCTAGCATAATGAATAAGAAGCTTGGAATCTATTTTTTTTAAAGAAAATAAACCTTAGGAAATCATATTTATTTGGATCAAGGTGTATGTATCTTTGGATTCAAGTTCATTCTGTACTTAATCCTTCTTTCTTTCAGATCATGTCATGATACAGTTTGGAAGAAGCATCCAAACTTTGCATTGCTATTCAATTTGGTTCTGAACCACCTTCAATCAGCTGATTTTAGAAAGAATGAATGATGTTCAGATAAGAAGAAAAATTATTCTGAGCAAAGAGAGCATGGATTCTTAATGCTACATGACATAACACCCATCTATTACCTCTTCTAGCCTCCGTCTCTGTTCTTTCTGTTCTTCAATCCTCTTTTGCCGTTCTGCCAACAGTTGACGTTTATGTTCTTCATTCTCCCGTTGCTGCTGCTCCAGCTGCTGCCGACGAAGGGCCTCTGACCGCTCTTTATTTGCAAGTTGAAGCCTCAAGAAGTCCCGTCTTAATGTTGACTCACCAGGCAGATTTAGGATGGAGCTTCATAGAGAAAGACAAATTTGCATCATTCCAGCAGAACATTCTCATGAAGGTTCATATGACATACAGAGATAGCCTCTAGATGTACAAATCTGAATCCATCCTACATATTCATGCTGTCTTTATGAAAATATGAGACAAAATTATCCACCTGAAGAGACTACCACATGGTTAGTCCTAAAGTAACATTATCTGAGGCAGTCTGATTCGTACATTTTATTCTTTAAGGAAATGTGTGTTTGTAATGCAAATCATGATGAGAACTAAAGGAAGAATTACATAACTAATTTAGATTAATACTAAATTTACGTCTTCCAGGATACCCATAATCCAAGAAGGGCTGAAGGGTGGATGCTAGCTAACAACTTTTTTCTCAATTACAATATGGAATTCCACACTATTTTTTTTCAAAACGGATGTCAAAAGCATGGTAAATTAACTATGAAAATCATTTGAGAATTTAGATTGAAGATACAATTGCTACAAAATCAGTTACTTCTCACACTTTACATGGAACATAATTGCCACATAATGGCATTCATTAACATGCATGTATTTGTACCCAGCTCAAAGCTCATGCTGTTCTTTTGCAGGATTCAAGTATTCAGAAAACTTTCTTAATACAAGAGTCTCTCAGAAATTCTTGTTTAACTGAATTTTACAAATGTGGAAGACTCAAGTAATACATTTGGGGGTGAGAGGTCTGCAATACCTTAGGTCAGTGGTTCCCAACCTGTGGTCCGTGGACCACCAGTGATCCGCAAGAAATAAAATATGATCTGTGGCCTCACCATTACTACACTATTGCAACGAGAGTGACTGGTCTCGTGAACCCCTCTTACTGTGCCGAGGCTTACTGAATATGGTTTTCTATGGGTGAGCAGATGGTGACTACTGGGTGACATATGTTCTGTATCAGAAACTAGAGTTGATGTGGTCTATCCAATGCAATTTTACAAGTAAAAGGCAGCGCATCATTCTCCTTACATGTAAAAGGCAGCAAATCAGGGAGAAAATAGATTAACTCAAGCTTCTCCTTGCAATGTACTCATTGTTTATGGATGGATATTTTTCAAGGAATAAACTTGCGCATGCAGCCTGAAGGCATGTATCAAGACACATAGTATGATGTTCTTCCAAGTACAAATTGAAGGTGACCAGCATGTTCTATAACAATGTCATGTCTCTTCTAAAATGAGCACAGCTGTTAGCTGCCATGCAGAAACCAAAATATTCGCAAATAACAGAGGTAGCAAAACAGTTTGAGGTGATGGGTTACATTTCCACCTGTGTCTCACAGATGTATTAGTTCAGGCTCTAGTCTGCTTCTTGTAGTTTTTTTAAATTAAAAAATAACAACAAACAAAGAAACCTTTCAGAGCTGCCACTTCACTTTCTCCTATCTGGTGGTACTAGCCATATGTTGAGATTTCTGTTAGAAAAAAACCCTTAGGATGCCCAAAGGTTTGCAGTACATCATACCTGGCCTGAAATGTAAGGGGCACAGTCCATGGCTGATAGAAATCTAATTTCAGAGAGAGCTGCCACATTTGTATTTGACTTCCTTTTATCAAACACAACTCAGAACATTCCTCGTAGTCACATGGGCAAGAATGGACAATTATTTATTACCTGGGTTCTCCAGAGTCATTTTCTTCCTCTTCCTCCTCACTTCCACTGTACTCGTATTCCGTTTCATCTAGGAACATAATTGAATGTCAGTGCCCTTTACGGAAACCATTCGTTTTTCTGCGAGATGAGAGCCACAGGGTTCTGGTTTGAGAAAAGCAAACTTTTCTTTCATTTTAATATGTGGTAGGACTGGATAAGGATATTGTTTCAGGAATGACTTGAATTCACATCACCAAACAGGTCTGCATTGAGGCAGAGATACAAACCTTGCCAATGTGATTACTTTGAAAGCACGCTATATTCCATTCATAAGGCTCTCTTTTGAAATATGGAGGACATACTGCATTCACTAAGATAATTTTTATAAGTTGTATATAATTTCTATCTATGTATTTTCAGAACACTATTAGATGAAAAGTAAATGGGCAAATGGGGATTCTTTTGTCACGAAGTACTGATTATTAGTCATACAAACCTCACTGATTTGTGACTCAGTGTTGGTAAAACAGGGAAACGCAGGAAATGACCAATGAATCCATACTTCTTTTCAGGAAGGGATTAGAGTATAAATATATATATTGAGGTGTGGGGTGGTATGTTTAAAATGTATTACTAATAGGCCTGAGAGAACACACAGTGGGATATGAATCTGAGGTTTGAGTATCATTTCAGAAGAGCAAAAAAGAGGTATTTTGCTTTGTTAAGAGGAGGAGGAACAGATGTTCTAGACTCAAATGGATCTGCATTCACTCATCGCTATCTAGTGGTATCCTAAAGCCAAGATGAGTAGATACTAAAATTTTAAAACTCCCTTCAAATTCAAGAGAATTCAAAAATTATCCTTAGCACATTTATTCTCAGAGCTCCAAGTAGAAGTTCATGAACATACATACATGCATACACACACACACACACACATATATATAGAGAGAGAGCAGTTACTTTATCTTTGGTATTCACTATTTTAGATAGTGTTTCTTCTAAAGTGGGGGATCTTAATTTAAAAGTAGGGGTTTGTCTGTGGAAAGAGTTGGTGCTTGAGAGTTAAGTAAAAGTCCACAATCTTTCCCTTGAAAATTTAGATTGGCATTCATTTTAGGTGGGGAAAGAACAAGGCAAAGGCAGAGAAAGAGTGATGTGTTAATTTAAAATATTTTATAGGAATGTTTACTGGCTTTATAGAAATTCATATTCCAAACTAAGTAGGCCGAAAATGCATTTATTTAACAAGTTTCATCTGATAATAGTTCTTTATTTTATGAGTTGGTTCAATTGAAATAATATCAATTGTTGCAAAAAACATGCCACTTTTAGAAATATTATGGCATCAAACACTATGGTGTAATAAACTTGGCGATTCGTTGTCTGTTTCTCTTGAAATATTCATAGCATATCCATAGCATTTTTACAATGCCATATAACTTAACAAAATGAAAAATAATGTAATGGATTATGCAAAAACACAAAAATGAGTTGCTATGTCCTTATTGCTGTTAAGATAAACTGTTGCATTTAAACACACAAACAAGCCAAAGCATGTCTGTGCCATGGTTACTGCCTACATAACCATGCAAGAGTACCATGTTCTGTTTGGAAAGGAAAATCCATTAACATCAATATATTTGTTCCAATTTAAGCCTGAGCTGGTAACTGAAGCTTCATAAAATCTTAGAGGTAGAAAGCGGTGAACTAGGGCCCTCTAGTCCAACCCCACTGCCATTAAGAAACACACATCTAAAAAATCCCTAAAAGATGTCTATCAAGCTCTGTTTAAAGACCTCCAAAGATGGTGAGTCCTTTGAGAGAATTTATTCCACTCTTAAATAGCTTTTACACTAGTGATCCTTCCAAAAAGTTTCTTCTTTTGAAGAGGTGGATCATGAAGTAAACAGATGAAGAACATGAAGAGTGTTATTGGATATTTGATCTGAAAGGTGGCTTCTCTTCATCTGGACTAACTTAAGAAGCCTCATTCATCTCTCTTCATGTTCTGGGAAGTATTCCAACCTATCCCTTCAAATTCTTATTTTTCTTTTGTTTCAGAGAAATTCTAGTTTTCCTTCTAAAAAACAAGAGTCAGCATTGTGTAGTTGTTTAAGTGTTGGCTACAAATCTAAAAACCAGAGTTTGAATCTCTGCTTCACCATGGAAATCTATCAAAGGTCCTTGTCCTTGAACAACTCTCAGACTTGAGCAAGTCTCAGACTCTCTGAAAAAGGGAAAGGCAAGCCTGCTCTGACAATTATTGCCAAGAAAACCCCATGACAGAATCATCTTAGGGTCAATATAAGTTGGAAACCACTTGAAAGTCCACAACACATACAGACACCTTCCAAGAATAGGGTTGTCTTTCATTCCGTATGGAATATATGAAAAATCTGTTGTCAAATAAGGTTTTGTGAGTTCTTTTGTCATAGATAACTAACACAAGTATCCCTCACTGTTAGCACATTTTTGACTTACCTTTCTCCCCACGTTTTTTCTTTGTTCTGTCAATATGGTCCTTCAGCTGGATGCGGACTTGCCTTTCATTAGGCTGGTCTCGAATAAATGGGTGCTTCATCAGCTGTTCAGTGGTGGGCCTCTGGCCATGATTCTTTACCAAGCAGCTTTCAATGAAGGACTGGAACTTTTTTGACCTGTGCATTATCATGGGAAAAACATGAATAAATTAAGTTAACATTTGGTAGCGCAGATCTACTTGGGACAGGAACATTGAAGACACCATACTTCCTAACAGCTCCTGAAGTGTTTCTTTTTGGCAGACCAACAACATAGAAAGGAATAAAAATCTAGTTCTCCACTTCTACTAACCTGACATTTGGCTTTAACACCACCAGACTAAAATTTTTGGCAGCTTCAGCATTTGGGACTACATTGGAAATCCGATGTTCAGAAACACCTAGAAGTTAGATTGTTGACTTCTGAGGTCCCTTCCAAAGCTATAATTCTGTGAAGGAAGATTGTGTACAAACTAACTGTAAGCATGAAACTGCCATGAAAATGATATGCCAAAGGATCTGGTCAATTCTATTCCACTAGTTAAATATTCATCACTCTTAATTCCCAGCAACTGATCTTCAACGGAATAATGATTTTGAATCTGGAAGCTGCATATAACTACCATATATTGTCCAGAAGGCAGTTGTAGCTTTGCCTTAAATAAATTTAAATGTCAGGTATTGTTGTCAGAATAATTTATTATTACTTAGAATATCTTACGGAAGTTCTGGCTGCTCCCTTTTTTCCTGAAAACCAACAAATGGTTACTTTTCCAGGGCATGTGACTTGGATTTTTAGAATTGTTTTCACTTATAACTACAAATTTTTAGAACTCATTTTAATCCTATTATCAAACACAAATGGGTAGTAAAGATTCACAATAAAGAAATATTTTGATGGGCTCCCAACACAACATGCGGCTTTGGTAAACAAGAAAATTAGTTCAAATTAGTGTTGGCAGATAAGACCGGAAATCTTCTATGGTAGAAAAATACAGTTTTATCTTCCAATGCTGACAGATTTATAAAGGCTGTTTCTCTCAATACTTTAATTGGAATATCAGAGTACTATCTTGGGATTCAGGAAGAGATTAAATAAACAATGTGGAGATGCCCACTTCTCTCTCCCTCAACATGTACATTGTTTGGCACATTTGACATTAAGAAAAAATACATACAAGTAAGAGAAAAAGTTGGAAAAAAGATTCTAAACAACTGGCTAGTTCACACACTCATATTTCATAACTGTTCTAACAGGTATAAATTTATTTTATTTTTTTATTTAAATAGCCATCAGAGTCTAAAGACCATATGTTATCTCTTATATGACCTCAACTATGCAAGTAAATTGGCTAAATTTATAAATTCTTTAGCCAGTTACACTGGACAGCTGAAAGACTCAGAAGTACTTAATAAACCAAAGGTCAGTATTTTATGAGATGACATTGGATACCCTAATTCTGTGTTATTTTGCATATCCATATGCACATGAGTAAGTGTGAGAAAGAAATGAAAATAATATTATATTAAAGACGTTAATAAATTATTCATCTTGCAATTTACTTACATTCTCCACAAAATACAAAAGGACTTGCTCAACCCTTTTGACTACAGGGATTCATGTCTGTACATGTGAAAGTCCACACCTTCAGAGATATTACATACCCTACCATCTTCATAGCTTTAAATGAACCTCTGAATGAGCCACAGGAGTGCAATGCATTTTCTGCTGCATTTTTTCCAATGTTGAATTTCATTTCAATCTATGAAAGTCATATTGGATTTATGGGAGTGGGAGAGAGCTGGCTTTATTCCAAAGCACTTGCATAGATGGGCTTGTAAAAGTCTATAAATAGATGCTGTGGTCACTTCCCAGCCTTTCATCTACCATAAAATCTTGAAAGGAAAATCAGAGTGACCTTCAACAGGAACACGTAATCTAGAACATTCTTTTTCAAACACCAAATAAATAGACCCATATATGATGCAATAGATATGTACCAGGACTATTTATGTAATGTAAGTTTTTGTGATATCTAGAATCCTTCTCTGCCTTGCATGCCACTGAATGCTGAAAATACTATACAGCACACAGTCAAAATATACCCTCCTCACCTGCTGCTCTAGAGAGGGGAAAGTAGCCAAAGGGAAGACTCCCATGTTGAGGAATAGACTACCCATGTTGAGGTCCTGAAAGCAACCCCTCTTCCACATTTTTGAGTGCCAAATTCAATGGGAAACCTATGTATAGGCATAACCATTATTCTCTGAAGAGAGAAGTGAGAGGCGTCTAGCTACTCTTCTGTCTGCTGAGTTGGCAGACAGAAACACAGCTGGAATCCCATTGATTCTTTCCACAGAAGAAGGAGATGGATTTTCTTGGAGGAGAGAGATGTATGGTTCTGTGCAGGGGAAATGGGAAAAATCACTCCTGGATGCATTTTGGAGTGCCTTTTGGAGTGGACTACAAAATGTACCTAGTTGCCTTCAAGGAGGTTTGAAATGATTTTGCCTATGCAAGTCTTACCTGACCTAGTGGTTTCATTTCATATGTGCATATTGTTAGTTTGGAATAAATGGTTTTCTGACACCATGCTGAATGTTATTTTTGTGGTATAACAACAACAACAACAACAACAACAACACCTGTCAGCTGCAAATAGCCATCTGTCAGCTGCAAAAGGCCACCCTACTCAGATCTGTATGCATTATTCACTGATACATAATGCTTGGGAAGTGTTCAACTAGTGATTTTGTGATACAAAATCCAGCATATACGTATTGTTTGCTGTGACATACTGTGTTTTTGTGTCAGTAAAATAATAATAATAATAATAATAATAATAATAATAATAATAGAAAAACTTCTCAAAGCACAGCAAAGAACCAGTACAAGAAAACTGCACTCCAAACCAGAGCTGACAGCTGGCACAACAAAGCAAAGCATGAGCAGTTCCTTGACAAAATTGAAGGAAACGCTGATAAGGAGAAGACCTGGTTATGGCTCACAAATGGAACACTGAAGGAGGAGACAGAAGGCCTGATTCTTGCAGCCCAGGAGCAAGGCATCAGAACCAATGCAATTAAGGCCAGGATTGAAAAATCAGCTGATGACCCAAAATGCAGACTGTGCAAGGAAGCTGATGAAACCATGGATCATATCCTCAGCTGTTGCAAGAAAATCACACAGACAGACTACAAACAAAGGCACAACTCCGTGGCCCAAATGATTCACTGGAACTTATGACACAACTACCACCTGCCAGCAGTAAAGAATTGTTGGGATCATAAACCTGCAAAGGTAGTGCAAAATGAACACACAAAAATACTGTGGAATTTTCAAATCCAGATTGACAAAGTTTTGGAACACAATACACCAGACATCATGATTGTGGAAAAGAAAAACGTTTGGATATTGATGTTGYCATACCGGGTGACAGTTGCATTGAAGAAAAACAATAGGAAAAACTCAGCCATTATCAGGACCTCAAAATCGAATTGCAAAGGCTCTGGYATAAGCCAGTACAGGTGGTCCCAGTGGTCATCGGCACATTGGGTGCCATGCCAAAAGATCTCAGCCGGCATTTGGAAACAATAAACATTGACAAAATCACGATCCGTCAATTGCAAAAGGCCACCTTACTTGGATCTGCACGCATCATTCAAAACTACATCACACAGTCCTAGACACTTGGGAAATGTTCGACTTGTGATTTTGTGATACGAAATCCAGCATATATATCGCTTGCTGTGACATTCTGTAAAATATTTATAGAAGTGTATATATAGCTCCACAATATCAGCATCTTCTTATGATGTGGAAGGATGTGATAACTTTTGTTTAGTATTCAGGGATGTGAGTGCTTGAAAACAAAATATTCAAAAATATTTCCATAATAACAACTTTGAAAAATTGACTTATTAAACTGTGTATTGCCATTTTCCTAAGAAGAAAAGATCAAAAGTAACAACGGCACATGTTAAGCCATTTAAGATTAATAACTTGTCCTCACTGGTATGCATCAATTAAAGCTTTTAGTTGATTAATCGAGACTCTAACTACTTCATCACACTAGAGAATGAATCCACTTTAAATCCAGTTTCTGCCTCCTGCAGAATTCTGGAGTTTGTAGTTTAGGGAAGTTGTTAAAGGCTCCTTCCTATACCTCAAAGCTCAAAGTTTTGCAGGATGCAGCAACCAGATTTAAAGTGGATTCATTCTCTAGTATGATGAGGCCCTAAAGACTTTGAATCCTTATTAAGACTTTGAATCCTTAAAAAGAAAAAAAAAGAGTGGTCGCTTTGACTCAGAGGACACCACATGAAAAAACAAGGAAGATATCCTCTTTACTTTGAGTTCAAACTGACCTAATGAGAAAGTTTCGGCTATACACAACACAGATAAATGCACATATTCAGAACATCAAACAACCATCTATCATATAAAGCGGACAGTTAAAATGTTCTAGGAGGCCCAATGTAAGCTTATATAATTTGTTTGCATAAAACAATTTGCACAAAATCAACAGACCTTTATGATAGCAAGCATATATCTTAATCACCAAATTTACATTATGGTATTTTTTAGCAAATACCAACTGGCCAGGAACAGACTGCTTGTTAATACTTTACAGATGCAAACAAAAAAATTGTTATGAATACAGCTCTGTAAAAGCAGATCATAAGCCCCAGCTGCCACTGAACAGGATTGTCATTTTAAACATCCCTACATATTCTAGATGATTAATAGCTTCGGCTTCATTCATGAACATCCAAATGTAACACAGGGATATTCCTTGAAGCACACAGGAAAACAACAACAACAACAAAACACCAATCTACAAAACATTCACTACAAGACCACAAGTAGGCAAAAAATTATAATACAATCAAAATAAAGATAAGGAATTCTATACTTTAAAGGTAAGTGGGAATACACGTTTCTATTAAAAAAAATCCTGTATCTTCCATTACTTAGCAAACAATCTGATTCATTCTCAAAGCTTACTTGGTCACCTTGGACTAGTCTTTGTTTCTTAGCCTAAGGAGCCATGGTGTCACAATGGGTTAAACCCTTGGGCCAGCTGAACTGCTGACCTGAAGGTTGGCATTTCGAATACGTGAGACAGGGTGAGCTT